TGATGAAACTCATCTAACAAAAATTTATTCACATAAAAGAAAAAAAAGATACTTTTGATTTCTGAAGTTTACAATTTACAAAAAAAGTTCACAAGAGAATCCTGGTTGAGAAATAGTGTTGTATACACCACACATGATTAGCTAATACACTTAAATTAAACTCAAATTTAGTTATATGTACAAAGATTATACACTTTAACCATATTGTAATTTTGAATTGTTGTAATCCTACATAAAAGTTCCTCAGCTCTATGTAAACTCCATTATGGCATAGTAATTTTGCAGATTTTTATATTCCGTACGTGTACATACATCTATAAATGAGTGTATACGTACACATACTAGCTGCATATGTACATATATAAACATGTATGCGTATCAATTACAGGACCCATAAAAACTACATTGAAAATCATATATGCACAATGCTGAAGTAGGTGTATGCATGTATGCTAGTTTACTACTGGGTTATATCATAAAATATAATTGAATTTTCTGTTCACTTAAAAGAAATATAAAAGTAATGACAAGTGTAGAATCTAGAACCAATTGTTTGAATAATCTTAACTACTATCGCATCTCACTGTATCACAATTTGTGCTCCAGAGGAGACAATTACCTATGCCACCGTAACAAATTAATAAAACCGCGGCAAAAAATGCTACACTACATATAGTGCATGGTTTTCGTTCGAGGAAGAATCCAATTAGATAGAGCATCACGAACATGGCATGCGTTTGCAGTAACGTCGGATTTACTGGCTTTGGTATTAGCAACAACGGAATCAGCCACTGTAGGCAATACATCCTCTTTTTATTTCGTTGTCAAAAATCTGTTTTCGACTTTAGTCAGTCTAGCTCTCTCATCTATGACAGGACCTTTCTGGAAACGAAACAAACGCAATTAGTTTTTCTTATGGTGGCTCATAAATTTGTTGCGTTGATTAATGTCACCTTAGGTATTTTATTTGGAAGCACTGTAAACGTTTCGAACCATTTTCTCCTAACCGTTTTAAACGATTCAACGATATGTATTCATGCTAAAGCTGAATTTTTGCATGTACAAGATTACGTACGACGACCATGAATTAAATACTAAGAAATCATACAACTGCATACGACGCACTTCAATCGTTCGTATAGTTACTAGGACAATATTCCTAGAAACTCCTAATTTCTGTTCTATTCAGTTTGATCTTAGGCCACGAGAAGAGGACGCTGCAATCAGTTGTGAAATATCATATTGGATAAGGCTGTATCCTTATATCTAGTCTGTGGCAATAGTAGATGGCGTTGCATATACTTTAGCGTCCTGGTTACCATGGTAACATAAAAAAGGTGGGGGAAGTCAGCTCTAGTGGCGGGTAATGCATGGTAGGTCAGTAAACGTAAATATGTACATAAATCGAGATTGAATTGTAAATGTAAATGATGTGCATATTCATATAATTAATGCTTCTATAAGAATATTAATATAGCGTCGTACAAGTAAATAGTGCGATTCTTTTAAAAAAGTGTTCCATTCAAATGTAATATGTATCGAAATACTCACGTGAAAGGTTTCAAATCTGTTCTAAAGTGTCAGCAATCGTCGAATAGCAAAACAAAAGATAATCAAGAACCTGTTAGCAAAATAGCTGAAAATTCAGAAGACAATTATCGCAGAAGTACCACAAGCATTCTTAATTTATTCAAAAGACCAGTCACAAAATGTAATGAAGAAATATACGAAAAAATACCTGGGGAAAGTGCACCAATCGAACCGAATGAAAACAATGCGAGTAGCATCGAAGAAAAGTCACATACTACTACTAACGATGGCAGAATGTACGGATTTTAATTCCTTATTTAATAACACAATAATTCACGGGGATTATTTATTTAATATTATCTTTCTTTCAGTATTTACAATGTGGTAATTGGTAAACAATCCATGAGGAAACATAAAAAATGGGAAGATGATGGAACATTGGAAGTCACAGGAAAGTTTGGCATTCTAAAGGTAATCTATCCAAACAAGACATGTTTAATTTCATATCATTTAAAGAATTAAGAATTAAATGATTAATCCAATAGGATTCAGGAGGTAATATTATCCGTAGGACAATGGTTAATCCAGAGGTTCTTGTGGAGGGATTTAGGATGTATATAGATAGTAAAGAAATTGAGGTAAAGTAGAATTTAATTTATGTGGATAGGTAATATTTCTGAAAGATTAATATATGTTTGTGTTACAGATTATTGATAGAGTAACAGGTAACCAATCGATACCAGAAAAATTGGTTGCAGAAACAATTTCAGAACCACCTGCAAAAAGATTAAAAACTTCAAAGTCTGGCCATTATGTTTCCCTGACCTCTTTAAAAAAAGGTTCAGCATATAATTCATTTGAAACCCTAAAATCTGATAATACTATGAATGATATATCAAGCTATTTTATTTTTGTTATATGTCTAGGACTCAAATTATTAACTAATCCACTGATAATGCCTTCTGTAAATACCTCTCAGAACTGGGGGGAGAATGATACAGCAGAAAAGGAAGAAGAAGTATGTGTAGATGCTTGTTTAGTAAATGCACTTAGGCCACATCAACGCCAGGGTATTATATTCCTTTATGAATGCATTATGGGTCTGAAACTACCTAATTACTTTGGTGCAATTTTGGCTGATGAAATGGGTCTTGGTAAAACATTACAGTGCATTGCTATCATTTGGACATTGTTAAAAAAGGGACCACATAGGAAACCAGTCTTGAAATATGTATTAATAGTAACACCTAGTAGTCTCTGTAATAATTGGAGCAAGGAATTCAATAATTGGTTGGGTTTCCATAGGATTTCTCCATATGTTGTAAATGCTAAAAATAAGCTAAAAGATTTCAAAAAGCAATCACGGAATTCAGTAATGATAATTAGCTATGATATGCTTATCAGAAATCAAGAAGAACTAGAGCCGATAGACTTTGACTTAATTGTATGCGACGAGGGTCACAGACTAAAAAATAATGATATTAAAGCAGCAAAGGTAATACCGATTTTTATTCATATTTGAATATTTAATTTACCTAATTTACTCTATCAGTGTGTGTCTTTTCTAGATCTTAAATAATATGGGTTGTAAAAAGAGAATCCTTTTGAGTGGAACACCCATACAAAATGATTTAAAAGAATTTTTCGCATTGATTGATTTTGTAAATCCAGGTATATTAGATAGCAATTCTAAATTCAAAAGTTATTATGAAAATCCGATTGTGGCATCACAATGTTCTCATGCATCTGATAGCGTTGTATCTCTGGGTAAAGAGAGAGCCAATGAATTACACGAAAAAACGAAATTGTTTATTTTAAGACGTACGCAGGATACAATTAATAAGTATCTACCGTCTAAACACGAGTTAGTTCTATTTTGCCGTTTATCGGACGAACAAAAAGATTTGTATACACGTGTTACGGACGCGTGGCTTGACAAAACTGGATTTCCGACCAACGCAGTGCCCCATTTAACAGTTATAACAATGTTGAAAAAAATTTGTAATCACCCAGATTTGTTCTATAACGAAAAGAATGATTTGCTGACGAATGATATTAAAAATGCAAAAAGAAATGTTTCAAAGAGTACTTATTCTGGAAAAATATCAGTTGTACAAACTTTAATGAGAAATTTAAAGAAGACTAAGGAGAAATTAGTATTGATATCATATTATACGCAAACGCTTGATTTATTGGAAACTATTTGCAACAATGAAAACGTACAATTTCTTAGATTAGATGGTAGTACAGCGAGCAGCTCCAGATCAAAAATTGTTCAGCAATTCAATTCAGAAAACGATGAACGCAGTTAGTAAATATCATAGAGCATTTAAGTAAATCAATAGAGTATTGTAACTTCTAGAATAATGATTTTAGAGATACTTTTATTAAGTGCAAAAGCTGGTGGAGTTGGTTTGAATCTTCCTGGGGCATCTAGGCTAGTACTGTTTGATTCAGACTGGAATCCGGCATCCGATTCTCAAGCCATGGCAAGAATTTGGAGAGAAGGCCAAAAAAAGAATGTTTATATATTACGGTTTGAACATTTTATATTTATATAAAATATTTTCTAAAGTACAGATTTTTAAAAAGTAAAAACAACATTTTTAGCTTACTAACAACAGGGACCATTGAAGAAAAGATTTTTCAAAGGCAAGTTAGTAAAGCAAGCTTGAGCGACACTGTTGTAGATGTGAACAACTTTGCTTCTCCGAAATTATCTATGATCGAATTGAAAGTTTGTTGCTTTATATGTCATTCATTTTTACTTGTAAGAATTACTATTCTCGAAAATAATAGTTTCAATACTTTAAGGATCTTTTTACATTGGCGACAGATACGAATTGTTTAACGCATGATCTAATCAAATGTTCTTGTAATGGATACAAGGAGTCCGAGAAATATGATAACGAAAACGAACGAGAACACCAGTTATTTTTAGAAAACAAATTAACACAACGAAATTTGACGATAAATCAACTTTTGGAGTGGGAACATTATCAACATCCAATTTCAAATAAAATAATGCAGGTACGCACCATGGTTTCAATAGTAAATAATACAATAAATCTTTCCTCATAATTGTTTCCTCTATTTTTATAGGAACTTATGTTATCAGAAGTATCTAATAATATAACATACTTGTTTAAGAATTCTATTGTAAATGAAGCAGATTAATTATTAAACATTGTATAAAAATACATATAAAAATATTTAAAAACAACTCATTTTAAAGATTACTTTTACGAGGCATTACACTTATAATTCTTTCAAAGAATTCAGGAGATTCAAAAATTCTCAATATTTCTTTTGATTCTTCTCTGTTAACTTCCAATAAGAGTTTCTCGTTCCATTTTTTAGTAAGACGTTTAATTGCCAGTATC